AGCGACGGCAAAAGCAGGAGACAGAGGCGATGAGGAGGCGATGGGCGACGACTCAGGCGATGAGGAGGCGATGGGCGACGACCCAGATGATGTGGAGGGGCCRGCAGCTGACTCACGAACCTCGAAGACCGCAGACTCTGGGACCACCGGAACCGCCGATTGTGGAACCATCGACTCCTGGACCACAGACTCTGGAACCACCATCGGAACCACCAACTCCGGGACCACCAGAACCACCAACTCCGGGACCACCGACTCTGGAACCACCGACTGTGGAACCATCGAATCCTCGACCTCCGGGACCACAAACTCCGGGACCACCGATTGTGGAACCATTGACTCAGGGACCACCGACTGTGGAACCACCACCGGAACCACCGACTGTGGAACTGGGACCACCAACTCAGTAACGTTGACCACCGATTGTGGGACTGGGACCACCAACTCAGGAGACTCAGGAACGGATTCGGATGACCCAGCCGTTACAGGTGACCCAACAAACTCAGGTGAATTGGTAGCCCAAACAGCCAATTCAGGCAGCAAAGTCCCAGACAGTGCAGCAGCCGGCCCAGGAAACACAGAACGGGTGGGAGGGTGGGCGTTCAAATGCTCGGCCAGAAGATGCCGAGCGTACTCACTGACCCTCCGGTGGCCAGACAGGAGCAGCAGATCGGGACGCATTTTAAAAACAACTAAAGGTGACATAGATACTTTATTATGGTATAGTTTTTAAATATTTGCCTGAGAAACACATAATATTGCCCCTTTAAGGACAGACAAAAAACCAAACGCTGAAGGTTATGCCTGTAATGGTGGTTTGGGGCAACAAGTTAATAGAATATATCTGTATTTTTTTTAATTTTCTGTTTCAGCAAGGAAGAAAAAAAAACAATATTAAAAACAACAACTGTTTAACAAACTTTCTTATTCATAGATTTATTTTTCTCAACTTAATGTCACCAAAGGGTGCTTGGGACTAAACATTGCTGCAAATATTCGCACGTGTAAAAAAGAGCTGTGCATCAACACAGAGAAAGCCAAATTTACAAGTTCCCAGTTTGAAGCTTCCAGTGAAACACCCACACAAACCAGATCTGCATTTCTGAACCTCAACAAATCTGACCTCAGTATCGTGAAAAACTGAAATCATAACAATGTTTTAGTAAATCTGATGAACTGTGTCTCATTAAATTTCACACGCGCAGTAGTAACCAGCTTCCAGCCGTGATCAGCTGCTGTTAGCTTTCAGCTTTAATGATTGACATACTATAAACAGCAGGAGAAACTAATATGAGGAAATAAAAGATGCTGCTGTGTAGAACTGCTACATTTACTGTCACTAATCAAACACTCATAATGGAATCATGAGATCAAACTTATTTGCTTTTTCAGCTTGTTACAGCAGAAACGCTTCAGCTTCTTTCCTAAACAGAATGTGACTAAATATTAATTAAGGCTGTTTTACAGAAGCTGAAAAACTATATACAGTAATGTTGCTCAGTTTAAAAATCTATAAACAAAATAAGTTGATAGATTCAATAAATATAATTTGTTGTCTTTCATGCCAGAGTTTTGGAGTAAGGTCATCTTTTGCTAACAGACACAGCTGACTATAAACAGTTAATGCAAAAATTTTGAAAACAGGTCTCAGGTGCGTGGAGTGCACCTTATAACACATACATGTTTACCACTCTGTAAAAAAAAAAAAAAAAACAGAGTTTCTAGTCATTTTTTGTGTGTTTTTTTTTTAAGATGAGTTAGCTGTGGCTGCCATCTTAAATTGGGTTAACTCCAAAAGTTAACCAGCCGTAGAGCAACCCGGTATGTTACAAGTGTTTCATTAAAATCAGTCCACTGGTTCGTAAGATGTATGGCTAAGTCCCAAAATACAACAGTGTGAACTTTTGAGTAATTAAACAACCAATCAGAGGAGTTTGTACCTGTCAGGAAGGAGGCTTAGAGTGCCTGTAACATGTCCTTTAAATACAAAAAGAACACCCTAATTACAATTGTGAACCTAGAAATTTCCATTTTCTAGAAATGTGAATTCCTATGTTGTTACATTTCTGTTTTATCCTCAATGGGATCGTTTCATCCTGAACTTTGTGAGCTTTTAACAGCCTGTTTCATAAAAAAAAAGATAAATAAACTTTCCAAGAGATACTGTAAATGCTGTTGGCTAAATTGCATCTTTATCGCATCCGCAACATGTTTCGTTGACAGCGCGAGATAAGCTGCTTCTAAAAGAAAACTCAGGTAAATCGGGACTATATATCGTACCTGTTGCAGATGTGTGTCACATGATTTTTGTCAAAAGTGTGTGTGTTTCTGGGGTGTGTATGCCCCCCGGTGTGGATGAGCTCTGTGTAATGCAGCAAGCCTCGGGGCTGATGTTGCCAGGTTGGGTAAATAAATTAAAGCAACAAATTATGTTTAAAAGCTTCTCCCTCAGGCCAGGGGAAACTAAGATCCATTATTCATAGCTTTTACTGCCGGGAATCGAAAAGAAGGTTTGTGTGTATGTGTGTGTGTGCCTGTGTGTGTCTATGTGTCCATTGTTTTTTATACTTTTTTTTGTGCCAATTATTTAGAGATTACCCGCTCTTATCTGATCAGATTATCTCACTTAAATCAACGTCATTTACATTTTTATACTACGAAACCACAACACGGACTGTTGGAGCTCTTTATTTTTATTTCGCAGGAAACAGAAACTCTTTTTACAATGTGGTGAACAGGACATTTAAAATCTAACCCTGCAGCTTGTCTTTAACAGAAATTTACACAAAAAGATCAAAACCAAGATCAATGTGTGTCTACAGAACAACTGCAAGCATAAAGTTGAATTTCTAATACAATTGTTAGGTTTTTAGACAGATTAATGTTTGGTTTAAACTGAACGATTCATCCATCTTTTTGCTGCTTTTCAGAGGATTTATCTCAGAGGCAACAGGTCCAGGAGCGGAACCTACATCCCCTCTCTCCAGTGGCACTCTCCAGATCCTCCAAGAGGTTTGAAGGTGTTTTCAGAGGGTATATAATACCACCAACAAGTTCCAGGTCAGGGTCTCAACTGGTAAATGTTCAGAGGGAGGCACCCAGGTGCTTGATCAGACGTCAGAACCACCTCAGCTGACTCCTTTTGATGCAGAGGAGCCGGTCTACTTGATGTTCCATAACTTATCCCCAAGGCAGAGCTTAGACATCTGCTTTCATCAAGGATCTTGTTCTTTCGGTCACAATCAACACATCATAAATGAAGTTTGGAACATAAACAAACACGTAAATCAAACGTGTTGCATTTCTGTCCAAACATTTCTTCGCCTCAGCGAGTTGGAACATCTTCATTACTGCAGACGAAAATCCAATCTGTCAAACCACTCAATCCAGTCAACACTTATGAACAAGTCACTAGTTCGATTCCCCATCATACCAATGTAGTGAGGAGTAAGACACCTAATTCCCAACTATTTCCTGTTATCTTAAAGGAATCCATGATTAGTTGTATAAGACTTTATTTAATAAACATATATTTTAACTGTAAAATAAAGACTGTAAAAATACTATAGGCTGTTCAGTTTTTATCATTTTTAAACTAAAAGTTTAAAAATATATTACATGAACGGAGCCATTTTATTTACACACAAAGCATTCTGGGTCAATGATGACATGGATAGGTCCTCTGTGCGAGGCTGCTAGCGAGCTATATCCACCCTGAAGGTTAGTCTTGGACAATATCTGATGATYGGCTCTTTTAAATGAAACCAGAGAGCRTTGACAGAGAGGAGAAGGTAGAAATGACTCAGCCTGTAACTGAAAATATGGATGGAGGACAACAGAGCTGCTTCATGGAAGAAGAACCTCAGCTTAGCCTGTTAGCTTTAGCATTAGCCCCGACACTATCACCATATATATGTATTAGCTCAGCGCTACACATTCTCCTCGACTCACTGAGGTCCTCCATCCACATGACAGAGGGGAACACAAAAATGACTCAGACTGCAACTGAAAATATAGATAGAGGACCTCAGTTTAGCTTATTTGTCGCGCTAGCACCGAGCTAAACATATAAGGCAATATAGTGTCGGCGCTAGTGCAAAGGCTAACAGGCTAAGCTGAGTTTCTTCTTCCATGAAGCAGCTCTGTTGTCCTCCATCCATATTTTCAGTTACAGRCTGAGTCATTTCTACCTTCTCCTCTCTGTCAACGCTCTCTGGTTTCATTTAAGAGTCAATTGTCAGATATTGTCCAAGATTAACCTTCTACGTCAACATTTACGTTATTATTTAGAATGCTTTGTGAATAAATAAAATGGCTGTTCCATGTTAAAATATATTTTTAAAAATTTACAAAACTAAACAGAGAATTTTTACAGTCTTTATTTTACAGTTAAAATAAATGTTTATCAAATAAAGTTTAATGTTACATCTAATCGTGGATCTCTTTAAATAACTGACCGGTGCTCTATTGGGTGTGTCTCGCATGTGATTTGTTAAATTTATTTGGAGACATGCAGTGATGACAACATATAATTTGGGTGTCCAATAGCATTTAGAACCCAGGGGAGGAGTCAGACTAAGAGCAATTGTTAATGAAGAGGGACTACATGGAATTGGCAACCTAACCCAGAACAGGGAAACCAGGGTACCCTCCTGGAGCAAGTCTTAGGAGGTGTGGGGTGGGGCTTGGTCTGTGCTGGTGGGCTCCTGGGACTCGGCAAAAAAACAAAACAAAAGGAAGCCACCTTTCCATGTGGCTACCTGCAAGGAGAAGAGCCGGGTGCTGTCCAAGGGTGAACCATGCTAGACCCCTAGCAACATAAACCAGCTTGAGAAAAACACAAACGGTTAAGTTTATGTATGTAACAGAAGTCATAAAGGACAGAGAACAGAAGTAAACCAGTTCAATTTAAATCCACTTAAAACCCTAAACTCAGAAAAAAGGGAATTTCCTTTCAAACTTTTGTTGAACAAATTGCTGCCAATAAACAGAAACAAACATTACTCTGATGTGACGCTTTATTCAAACCGCACACAGCTTCATTTCCACTTGTGTTATCCATTCTCTGATATCTTCAAACTGTTTCTCCTGCCTTTTTCACTTGTTACTCAAACATATGTTGTCCATTCCTGACTGGGTTGCTTTCCCCTCCACCTCCTTCACATCAAAGTTCCTCCGAGTGGAAAGCTAAAGGACAAACAAACAGAAAACTGTACAGAAAAGGGTGCTCATGAGGAACAAAAGCATGCTATTCTCTCATAAAAACAAGTTTTTACACACAAAGCGTTTACCATTCTTAGCAAAATTACTTGAACAATTTTCCTTTTGTTCACTCACTCAGCCTGATACTTCTGACCTTGAAAATATTTAGCTTTCAATAAGTCCATCCACCAAGAATAACAAACTGTACTTTTCCTCTTCTTGCCAGCAGCCACAGCCACACTTTATCAAAGAAAATATCTTGTATATAGTCAAACTATGGCAGTCAGTGAATGTTATTATTCTCACAGCACAGAGTAATGTGGGTTTTTGGGTGTTAATTATTAGTAGTTCTGATTATTTGATGGTGCATTACTGTGAGAAATGTTTTCTTACATGTGAGGGTTTCAGTAAGGTGATGAATACCTTCCTCTTCCTCATCAGGCGCGACCAGGCTGGCTACAAACATCCAAATCATCTCCAGCCAATCAGAGCTCTCCTGAGTTGTGACATCACCGTGGATTCCAGCGGGGCTTGGTTTGACTGAACGAACTCCAGCTAAAATAAAATAAATACAGAACTTATTCTTTTTTTATTTTATAAAGAAAGCATTGACCCAAATATTTTGTGGCGTGCACAAAGTTGCATTTTTAGATTGTCTCTTGTGAAGTTTCCAATTTCTTAAATCTAGGTTTAGCTGTTTCTTTTGAAAATACTATTTTATTTTTGTTTGGACCGCATCTTCTTTTGATGCTTTGTCCTAATAGCATCCAAAAATTATTTCTACTCACGATCAGCAATAAGTAAAACTTATGATAGTACCAGTAGATTTAAAAAGAAAGGTCCTCTCAGTTAATGTAAGCTCCTAGAAAACAGTTTAACATCTCTTGTATCATGTCTTTGTTTTCTTTTGTGAGATTTTTTTCTCATTGCCCATTCATCACAAAAAATAATTTCATGTTATGAATCAAAACATCACAGTTAGGCAATAAAGAAAATCTTAGTTTGAGGCTATGCTGATGATACTATGATGTATTCGAAACATTGAAAGCGTCTCTATAATCTACAGCAAGCTCAAACACTGCATAGCTTGGGTTTTAAAACTTGTTCTTAATGCAAAACAAAAGAGCAAAGATGTTTCAGAATTGATTTTGGACTAATTAAATTTAACAAAAAATCATTTAATGCTCTAATTATTAATATGATAATGATTATGAGGCAAGAATATGTGGCTCCAAATGATGTACTGACTACAACTGCACTACTTTCATCTGTTCAATTAACTAATTAGTGTTAATACTTTGATATTTTGCCCTAATTTCACCTAGTCTACTGTTTATAATTTTTGTGTTTATCCTTACAATATGAAACAATATTAACATTGTTGTGGTCATTTTGTTACTTACTTTAGCTTAAAATGCTGGCCGTGTTGATGCTCTTATAAACTAGTTTTAATCTTGAACAGCTTCACGCCATTTAAATAAAAGCTAAATAGTAAACTGAAACACAAATAACAAACCAGTTGAAGATGCAGTCACTAAGATACATCATAAATATGCAGTTGGTTGCTTCAATGAGGTGAAAATACTGAGCTCACAACATAAGCTGACGACCATGGCATGTAGTTGTTGCAACCTTGTTTATATGGCTTAAATCTGTGAAGTGTAACAACACCCCCATTCTTTGTTCCATGCTTGGATTATAAATCTTAAAATCTGTTTTGTTCTTTCATCTTTCTAACAAAAAGTTTGTCTTTTCTGATGTTTCTCTTTCCACAGAGTCCAATTAAACTCAAAGTGTCATTTACTGGATGTTGCAGTCTAGATCCCTGGCCTAAAGGGGAGATCTGAACCTTGATCCTCTTTTGACATACAGGGTTCAGTTCTTCACACGCCTGAAATTTGCTCCTAACATCTGTGATCACAAAACTGTTGGTGTACCATGTCATGAGTTTGCAATACTTTTCTTATTTTATTTCTTTACAGAAACCTGTCTTTTCTTTAATTCCATTTCCAGCAGTTCAGATCACACATTTTAAAGGGATCCCCGACTAGTTGTAACATTAGACTTTATATGATAAACATATATTTTAACTGTAAAATAAAGACTGTAAAAATACTGTAGGATGTTCAGTTTTTATCATTTTTAAACTAAAAGTTTAAAAATATTTTACACGGACGGGGCCATTTTATTTACACACAAAGCATTCTGGGAAATTGATGACATCAACTAGGTCATTGGCACGAGGCTGCTAGCGAGCTATATCCACCCTGAAGGTTAATCTTGGACAATATCTGACGATCGGCTCTTTTAAATGAAACCAGAGAGCGTTGACAGAGAGGAGAAGGTAGAAATGACTCAGCCTGTAACTGAAAATATAGATGGAGGACAACAGAGCTGCTTCATGGAAGAAGAACCTCAGCTTAGCCTGTTAGCTTTAGCATTAGCCCCGACGCTATCACCATATATATGTATTAGCTCAGCGCTACACATTCTCCTCTCATCACTGAGGTCCTCCATCCACATGACAGAGAGGAGAACGCAAAAATGACTCAGATTGCAACTGAAAATATGGATGAGGACCTATGTTTAGCTTGTTTGTCGCGCTAGCTCCGAGCTAATACATATAAGGCAATATAGCGTGAGGGCTAGCGCGACGGCTAACAGGCTAAGCTGAGGTTCTTCTTCCATGAAGCAGCTCTGTTGTCCTCCATCCATATTTTCAGTTACAGGCTGAGTCATTTCTACCTTCTCCTCTCTGTCAACGCTCTCTGGTTTCATTTTAAAGAGTCAATCATCAGATATTGTCCAAGAGTAACCTTCAGGGTGGACATAGCTCACTAGCAGCCTTGCACCAATGACCTAGTTGATGTCATCATTTACCCAGAATGCTTTGCATGTAAATAAAATGGCTCCGTCCGTGTAAAAATATATTTAAAAAAATTTACAAAACTAAACAGCCTACAGTATTTTTACAGTCTTTATTTTACAGTTAAAATAAATGTTTCTCAAACAAAGTTTAATGTTGCAACTAATCGTGGATCTCTTTAAATACTTGTTCTGGTTGCAGGAAAAAAAAGCTGCTTTAAATACATCTGCACTTTTTATCAGCGTGTCTAAGTGGTGTTAGACATTTCTACTTCAGTGATCGATTTTCCTACTGTAAAAGACACAAATCCAGCTCTTTTTGCAGCTGTTTGATTCTGCTTTCAAGCTTTTAGTCAGAGATACAGTATAATGCAATGAAATTTATGTGCAGCTGAATTTTTCTCCTCTTCGTGCAGCTGTTAAACTATAATTTGGACCATTATGATGCTTAACGTCTCGGCTTTATTCACAGCAGGACGTCTGAGGCGAAAGTACCGTATAATATTCGATAACTTGAGTGTTTTATAAGTGAATGCTGTGTGTTTCGGCTTGCCTCGAATCTTCAAGCCTCTTTTGCCGATAGCAGGTGGAGGAGGGAGGCCTGAGTAGGAGAAACACACAAACATGGCATTAAAAAGAAGATGCTGCGTGACGTGAAAGCAGGTTGCTGCAAGAAACAAAGCAATAGGAGGGCAAACGGAGGGAAAACATGAACTACAGAAAGGAACATCATAAAGAGAGTCACAAAGAGATAAATATGTTTCACATTTGTTTTTTTTTCTTGTTTTCATTCCTAGCAGCACGTGGTGGTAGATCTTCAGAGCTTTTCCTCCGTCATGCAAAAACTAACGTCACACAAATTTCTCTTTTCAAACATGTTAGTATGCATTGCAGAAAACACACACACACAGACCCACACACAGCAAGATACTTATATACTTTGAGCAAAAAAGTAAGAAAATCTGTGTTTGTTGATCATTTCTTTGTCGTAACAATACTTCTTTTGGAAACCCTGTTTATTTCTCCTGAAATACTCCATGAAAAAACTTGACAAAACATCTCGGCTAAACAGCGTATCCTTTCATGGTCTCTAGTTTGGTGTTGTTTATTGGATGGTTGAAGTCTGATGAAATGTGCTATTTAGCAGTTATTAATTTAACCCATTTAAATATAAGGGATCCCAGTAGCATGTGGAAGAACCATACACAGCCACAACCGCCTGGCACCTACTCCTCATGCTGGAGACCAGCTTGGTCACTCACTCCTGTTAGATAGCTTATTTCTGACCAGCATTTATCACAAGTCAGCCAGTGTGGTTGTGTTGGTCACTCTGGAATGAACTGCACGCTCAACACTGATGTGCGGATGGATACTGAAATATCGATACCACTGTCAAGAGGGCCTGGAGTCCAGGATGCTTATAATTCTGGAATCAGATCCAAGGAGTTTTACCCCCCACAGAAACGAGACCCAGAGAGGAAAAGAGGACATCATAAGAA